CTGAGCCAGCTGAGGCCTTGGCTGACTCTAGTAACTGGCTTCATTTTTTGACTCAGTGGGTATCATTGGAGTACGTAAGCCCTTGGAAAGCACACTGTTGGATTCCAGTCCACAGATGGAGAAGTGAAAGGGGAATAGAAGAAAGAAAGACAGAAAGAAGTGATCCATGGAACCACAGAACTAACCTCAGCAGCATGCCAGTTTTTGGAGCAGATTTGAATGGAAACAATAATCAAAGACATAGTGGTAAATGGATGCAGCGTAGGTTTCCTCCAGGCAAAACTCACTGGCTGCATTCTGTGATTAAGATAACTGCTTTTCCAGACAAAGGAAACGTGGCAGATTTAATCTATTTGGTTATCAGTAACAACCTCCTTTTGTTTATTTAAGTTGGAGGAATTGGTGATATGCTGGGAAACATGGATATCAGTACCTAATCTCTATGGTAGGTGAGACCTGGCTTCAGTGTAGTGCTGAGATGGAGTATCAGGTCTGAAGGGAATCTAGGTTAGTTACCAGTGGACTTTCCAAAAGATCTGCCTTGCATTTGATCTAATTTAGTATGTTCATTAATGACCTTGGCACAAAAAGAAGGAAAAATAGGGAAAATGCTGACAATACAAAGTCTATACAACAGAGGATTAGGAGTCATCCAGGAAGAACTGAATAACCTTGAGTGCTGCAATAACAGAGATAGGATGAAAATTAATAGCATACTGTGCAAGGTTGTGTGCTTAGAGACTAATAACAAGCATTTCTGTGTTAAAGTAGGATTCCCATGTTGAAACAAATGAGGAGGAAAACATCTAGAATGACTGTAAGCCACAAATATGATGCAGTCATGAAAAAAGCAAAGCATATATCAAGAGAGTTACTGCCAATGAAGGCAGGAGATTACAAGTGCAAGGGTTAGACTGGAAAGAGACTGGGATTCTCCACACAATTCTGGTCACCTGCGCACTAAAATGATGAATTTCAATAATGTAAATTAGAGCACCAGGAGGGAAGGTTACCAAGGGAATGAAATATTCATGTACAGTCTCTGATCCAATAAGGAGTTAAGGAAAAATAATGGATTTAGCCCAGCAAAATGATGGAAGGAGGAGATACAATGGTTTGCTGTATCACATGGCACTCAGCCCAAGGCAAAGAGCTAGGGGGAGAAACAGTGTATAAGCAAAGGAACAGAGCTGATGCAAGAACAAATGGCTGAAAAATTACAGTGAAAAACTAAGGCTGGAAGGAAAAGATCTTGACCCACGTGAACAGCGAGGTCACAGCAGAGCCTTCCAGTGAGGGAAGGAGACTGGAGCTATATTGGTTTCTACATGCTGCTGGTATGCAAGTTAGCAGGAAACTAACCCTTGGACTCGGGAGATACTTTCAAGTCCCAAACAGTGAAAATAAGGGCTCAGGTCTCCTGTGGTTTTGTGTAGACGAAGGAAGGGATTTCTGGCTTTTATGCTGCTGTTAAGCATCTGTGTAGGAACACCACATATTCAGCAGGTCCCTGAAAGGACTCAACCTCTATTAAAATCTATTACAGCAAAAAGGAGGAAAATTAAGAGTGTTTGCATACAGGCCATTACAAGTCGAACAGTTGGGAAATTTCATGTGGTTTTGGTTCTTTTCCTGCATTAGAGGGGAGCAGTTTCATATTCATAGACTCAACCATGCATGTTGAAGTGTGTGGCCACTGGCCGACCTATGTTTTCAGTAATAACAGCTGATGTGATCTGTGATTTCTGAGTCTTGTGCCAACATGAGTGCTGGGTTTGCCTATATATTTGGGTTGGTGTTCAGTGTGCTGGAAACAACCCATACGCACCGCATGCAAGAATCCAGATTCCATCTGGTTACAGCAGGGTTTTGTAAAAAATATCTAAAGAGCTAGGCAAAGGATTAGAATAAAGAGGTGCTAATAGGGTGCAGTTGGGACAGGAAAGGAAGCTGTAAAGAATTTAATGGAAAAAGAGGGTCAAGGAACATAAAAAATAAAATAGGAAGAAAAAGAGGCATTTTTTTTAAAAGGTGAAAGAGTAACAATAATAAAGAATGAAAGATTCTTTTCTTTTTGCCAGTTTCAACAAAACCTTTAAGAAAATTCTCTTCTCTGACGTTTAATTTTAAAACATGTCAGTGTATCCAAACCTTGTTTCAATCCTGCTTTGTGTTTTTCAGGTGCTAGGTTGCAATTGCAGAGTTCTAATCTGCTCCTTGGCTTCATGAAACTACTGTCCCCTGCCCCACATTATTTGGCTCTCCCAAGAGGTGGCTGAAGTTCAAAGGGATATATAATTTGCAAAGCACTTTGGGATCGTGCTGGAAGAAAGACACTGTTATTAATATCATAACCTCCTTTTCTCCAGTTCACTTTTCATCTATAATGTGGGTTATTAGTTTTTATTTTTATGATAATCTCAACAGCAATAGCCTCCTCCTTTTCCTCCATTTACACATGATCTCACCCCATCCCGAAGAGTTTACAATCCAGATTATACATGGATTGAGAGAGGAAGCAAAGAGACAGGGTGGGATAGTGAATTGAAGTCTCACAGCACATCCACAAGAGAAACAGTGTCCTATGATCCAGATGGCCATTAAGACCCTTCTCTAAAGATAAATACTCTTAAGTTTTGAGTAAAAATGTAAATGTAGTTCAAACCTTACAAAACAGAGCAGGTTTACCGCAGAAAGGAAAGCACTGTTCCTCCTTCTGAATTCAGGTAAAGGGCTTAGGGCTGAGTGGAAATGGGAAAGGACCTTATTGTAACAAGACGCTACAATAATTTTACTCGAAACCCTAAAACAAATTCAGGGTTCATAAAATAAGCATTGACATGGTGAAAGAGAATGGTTTCTTTAAGATGTTCTTGGTCAGAGAATATGCTAAGCATGCATTTCTAATATCTGGGTGGGCAAACGCAAGTGGAAATTTAAATTCTACAGAGGCACAGAGAATGTGCTTCTGAAAATGTTTCCACTTAAAAGCATGTTAAGTGTGAAAGTGTAGTCTACACGGAGGGAGTGAGGGAGTGTGGTCTATCAGATCATCAGCAAGGATTCTGTGGCCTTTCTGGGTACTAAGCATGTTTGGTGCTTGCTGTCAGCGCTCTGAGAGAAAAGAACCAATACTGTGCCAGTGCGAACTGCTCCCAGGGAAATTTGGGCTATAAATTGCCTGGTAACTGTACAGAAGAAAAGATACTTTGGAATAACATTAAGGGCTGGGCCTGAAATCCCAAAGGAACACAATCGGGATACAGGAACAGAGTATCCCTTTCTCAGGAGGTTTTGTGTGATTTAACCTAACCCACTGAAGAGGCAGCAATGTCATGCTGAGAAGTGTGCAACGAAGAGGAGACTTAACCAAGGGCTCAAGGTCAAGGAGATCCCATAGAGAAACAGCACTGTGGGTCTTAGGGCTCTATCAGACCTGATAGCCAAGACTTCCCTTTGTTGCTCTCATCTAGCAGAGGCAGAAGCTGCAATCTTCTTCCAGAGCTTTAGATGTCGCTTTTTTTACCTCTACCACTTGGAACCCCTCCATATACCTGCCTGGGCTCACACCAGTCTCCTCTTGATGGCTTAACAAGGTCTGTAAGAAATACAGGACAGGGCATAAACAAAAGCAGATCCTCCTTGTTTCTGTCTTTCTTAAAGAATGACATGCCAGAAATCCCTGAATTTAGGAAACTTCCTCATGGAATGACAGTTGTTTCTTTGAAGTCACTGGGAGTTTGGTTGTCACACACCTAGAAGCACATGGGGTATCTCATCATACCTCTCAGTACCACTGAAAGCAGTATGGCCACAATATTGTATAGCAGCAACAATAGGCAATGCAGACAGAAAATCAAACCTGAAACAGCCTTATTGATGGATGACCTGACACTGGATTTCCCTGCTTCAAGGCACTGTAATCAGAGAGCAGGTCTGCACGTCTAATTAGAAGGAAGTGTGCTGTTTCTCATTGCCCCTATTGTTTCTGCCAGGAGGTAGCTTTGAAAGTACATTTCCCTGGCTTGTGTGATTATACAAAGTGCAACAGCTAGCAGGTTGTTTTGAACATGCTTTTTTAGGTGTTGTTGAGCTTTGTCCTAAATTGATTTTATGTTCTAACTACTATCAAAAGTGGAGCCTCTACAATACTCCACAAAGCTAAACATTACTGTGAAGCAAGAGTAAACTGAACAGATTAATTTGCCTTCCTGTATTTTATCATTTTGGTCAGAAATGTCTTGTTTTATACAACACAGATTAAAATCAATTCAGCTGCAAGTGCTTGCTGAAGCAAAAAGAGTTTTTATTGGGTTTTAGCACTTATTATTAGCTCTTTATTTGCTTCTATTGATGCAGAAAAGCACTCTTATTGAGCAAAGCATCTAAAATGTGTTTCAGCCTAACTTCTTGACTTCAGCAAGATTCAGGTATGTTTCCAAAATCATGCAGGTCTTGCTAAACACTGTACAAACTTCACATGAAGAAGAGACACTGGTCACCTAGAGACTTCCAGTCTGAACTATGCTAATACAGACCAGGCAGGCAACACAGCAGATGAGCTAAAGTAGCTTAAAGGCTGTCAGTTGTTTGCAAGAGTTTTTGTGGCACTGTTTGAAATCCATCAGGCCCTATTCTGCACTGAATAATAATAAAAAAGGTTAGATATCCAGTCACTGCTCTCCTGTCTAACTTTATACTGCAGGTTGCTCTTGTCACCCAAAAGGCAGCCAAGGGGAAAAGCAAGCCATTCCCAAACAATCCATGAAGGCAGCCTGCATGGAATCTGGCCTTACTGGACACATATTAAATGGACTCTGAGGTAATGGAAGTCTGACCTGCTCAACGAAAGGAAATGAATATTACAGCTGGTCACTGTGGCTAACAATGTGTCCTGATACTTGTAGATATTTTCACCACATTCACCAGATGGAGGCTTTGGAAATGGGTGATTTGTGAAGGAAAAGGATATTGGGATTTATTATTGTTTAACTCCTTACCGTGACTGGCAGGGGTGTGTGTTACATTTCCTGACCTGGGGCTCGGGGCGATTCACTCGCTGGCAGTCACTGTCATTCACCAGTGTCATGGTCTTGTTAATGATTCGAGTACAGGATACAATGGTTTTCCTTTCACCTATAAGTCAAGTAAAAAACAGCTCTGAAAAAGGAAACCAGTGGGTCAGAACAAAATCAGGTCAAGTCAATAACCAAAATGCAGAGGCTAGAAGCTCCCTACTACCTCTGCAAGATTTAATCTACACAGATCTACCAGCTCTGCAAGCAGTCCCATTTCCCAGTTCTGTCTTACCTTTGTACTGATTTTTACTTTATTTCTATTTCTTTTCAGAAAAAGCTACAAATCTTTCCCCAGTAATTGAGAAATTGGCTGCTTCACAGCAACAACAGGTTGGGCTTTCTTCTTCAAACATTTAATGTGGAAACAACCTTGAAAACAATTTGCTTTAATTTCTGGTTCCTCCTCCACATATAGCTGTGCCCTGTAATCACCTAGGACAGATGTGCCAGCCATGTAAGCTGAAACCACACACCCATCCACCCCTCAGTGACTGATGATGACAGGACAGCTGCCTCTTGCTGCTCTCCCCTCAGGAAGAGTCAGGTTGAAAAGGAGTGACTGGGGTTCAAGAGTGATAAATTGGGTTTGTTTCTATTTCACAAAGTGGTGAAATTAAGCCACTGAAATAAATCATTTCTTAACCTCCAGATATACTGTTTAAGAAAACTGAAGTATCTCAGGAGTATTCAGCATTTCTCACATAAATTGTGTGTATCAGGAGTTTCATCAAGACACCTCACTGCGGCCCTCAGGGTTCAGCCGTCCACTGCGTGCCAATCACTACATGTGATAAGGAAAATGTCATAGATGCTCTTTTTAATCCTGAGTCTGCATCAAATTGAGTTTATTCATGATCTGCAGCATCTCACAGACAAAATATAAGAGATAATTGCCATCCAAGCTACTACTGGGGGGTGCTGATTTGATTCAAATATGTGGCAGGCTTGCAGCACAAGTCAAAAGAGCTACAGATTTCCCTCTCACTCACATGAGGATTTAATGCTCCATCCCTGGCAGTGCTCAAGGCCAGGCTGGACAGAGCCTTAGGTGACATGGTTTAGTGGGAGGTGTTCCTGCCCATGGCCTGGGGGTTGGAACTGGATGATCTTAAGGTCCTTTCCAACCCTCACTATTCTGTGATTCTGCAATGGCTCTAAGAAATTAGTTTTACTAAATGCATAAAAGTGTCCATTTTAAAATGAGTTCTATTTACAGAAAAAAATAGATCCAGAATTTCAGTACACTGAAGGCAGTGAGCCTGCAAATGTGAAGATGAGCACTCTTTGCTTCTGTCATATAAAATTCTATGATTCTATGATAAATAGTTGGGTCTGCTGGTAAAGAACGACTGGCCAGAATGCATGGAAATGATCCATTTTCCTCAGGGAAAAACCTACTCCTTCCAGCACTGAACCGCCAGTGGACAGTGGCTGACAAACCAGTCTCTGGTTTCACAGGCACCGATTCCCCCCAGGGTTTGAGCAAATCTGCCTCAGCACATCCTGGGGATCATCTGCAAGGTGTGATCTGCAGTGTGCTCACGTCCACCTCACACTGAGAGCATCTGATGCAATCTGCAGTTGTCACAGCAGCGCTGCCCCAGTTCCATCCCTGGGGAAGGAAGTGTCTTTCAGTGAACAAGCCTGAACACCTGTGGAAACTCTGCTCCAAGAATGTGACTGAGACTTGAGATATGGGGCTGCACACGGTGCCTTGAGCTATCCATGGAGCACTAATCCAGGTGCAGCTCCAGCCTATGGTAACGAGCCGACAAAGCAGCATCCCTGCCAAAATGCTGAGTGAAAATTAGCTGTGGGGATGTGGATGAGAGCTAGGAGAGCTGGTGAGAATGAGCTCTCTTTTGAGTTCATAATGGCAACATCCATACCCATGGCCAGTTTCCTTCATACTTTGGCAACACTGTCCTTCTGCAGGCACCTCTCTAATGGCTGGTGACTGTAAACCCTGTCCAGCAAGTCCCATGAAGTTTGCAAAGACCCTTACTTACCTCCTCCACACTGCACACTGCACCCTTCCCATCCGCTGTGCGTCCAGATGTACAAAGAATCCTGTTGCTTTTCTGGCTCGCTTCTGTTTTCAGCAGTATAGTTTACAGGAATGGTGTATTCGTAATGAATTCCATAATTCTGGTCATGAAATAACAGCACCTGGTTCGGCAGGAAAAGAAAGGCTGTTACAACACACTGCGCACTGGGGAAGCCAACACACTGCAGAGACAGTACTGCTGGGAATGCTGTCTCAGGACAATGCTCTAAAATATAAGTACCTTGTGAAAGGCAACCAAATCTTTACCTAGACACCTGAAATCACAGCGATAGTGGTAAAACAGGGCATCTGCAGGAGCAATGACTGCTTATGGTTTGTGAATATTTAAAACACTCCTGGGAATGTCTAAACCTGGAATTTTGCATAACTTTGTTTAAGCCTCTAATGCGATCAGCAGGCCACTGTCCGTAGTTTGAAGGTCTGAAAGAACAAGTTGATCCTTCTCAAAGCAAAACTAACTCATGAAAAAGAAGTCATGCCTGTTGAGCAACATGGCCTTCAAAGTGAATGTGACTGTTCCTGCTGACAAGCTGTAGAAGCAGGATTTTATTGTCTCAGAAACCTGAGGATGATGAGGAAGAGCCATTCCATACAGCTGCTGGCAACATATATATTCTCATACCTTGCACATTGCTAGAGAAAGGTGAAACTCGCTTCCAGCAGCAGGCCCATTATTTCCCGTGGAGTCACATGTGATGTCTCTAGTGTCACTACCCAAAAATTCACTGACTATTAACAGACATAAGAACTAAGACAAATGCTTATTTTTTCACCACAGGCAGATGACAGTTCTGGTCCTGTTTTGATTTACATCTTGGTCTTCATTGGCTCTCACTTTCACAGGCTTGAGTCAAAAGTGACTAGAAGATACTCAGTGGTGTATGAGGTCCAGGGAATCTGAGTTAACACACTCTTAACAAACGCCATAGAAGTACTACTGTAATGGTGATGGTGCGGCTTTGGACTTACTACCCCATAATCTCAGCAGCACCAGACAGGTGAATTCTGCTGGCTCTTGTCACCTACTGAAAAAGGAGCAGCATCTTATCAAGTAAGATATTTTAAGCAGAGATATCATAGGTGAAGCAAGCAGTTAACAAAAGCAAATCTGCAAATGCTGTTTTCTCCCAGCAATTACTGTTTCCCATTCAGAGCTGCAGAGATCACTCCTGTTTAACCAATCATCTCACTAAAGCTGTCATTTAACCAAAAAAAATTAACTGAAAGGTGTCCATCTTACAGTCACTGACATCCTGGAGGTCTGCGCTGTGAACACTGTGGGGCTACACAAGCTCAGCTCCCATGAGTTGCTCTGCACAGTGCATAACTCTGGAGAGAAAAGCATCTTCCAGATGATGAGGGGAACAATGACATGATTTTGCTTCAGCCACAGAGGCAGCCTGACTACCAGAACTGAATACCAGGGGTGGAACTAGGCAGTCATCGTTACAATTTCAAAGATGAATGGTTATTTTTTAAAACACATTTGAAATGCCAGGCTGTCAGAGGTAGAGAACTCAAGTCCTGCTCTGGCTTTCTGTTAAGTGCATGAGATACAAACAGCTTCTTCTACAGAACTGATCTTTAGTCTTGACTAAAGCTTCTTTATGCCCTGTGAGTGTTTGGTTGTCCTCTGTTGCTGAGAGGAGGTCTAGCACAGGCCTAGTTACACAAACATTCATTTCTCCAAGAAATACACTTACAGCAACACACTTGGAGAAATGCCTCAAGTATTAAAAGCCAGGTCCTAAAAAGAAATCCTTATTATCTCAATATGGGTGCAAGACTAGTGTCTAAAAGGCCCATCTGAAACCAATTTCATGCAATTTCGTAGCCATATATAATTGGGGTGTGTATGTATGTGTGTATAATTGGTTTCAAATGCAGGTCACAATGGACTGACTGAAGCTTCTGGCTCTTTGTCAGTCCAGTGTATTCCACCACTGTTTGAACAACAGTTTTCTATTTAGAGGTAACTGGTAACCATTCTGCAGTTCTTGTGTTGAAAGAATGAAACCCACCACCCTGTATCAAGGAAAAGATTAATATCTGATTTGAAGAAAAGACTTCACATGTGCTTTGTTTATGACTGGCAGTGATTTTAAACCACATGCTTTTTTAATTGTCTGGTAACTTTTACTTTCCTCCTTTTTAATCATTTTGGGAAGGGAGGTGGGGAGAAGAAGGAAAATTTCCTCTGCTCTTATCTGCTGAAAATGCCAGTCTGTACCTGGAAAGGATACTCTTGGAGAACCTGATAATCACTACTTTCCTATGTTAGTTACTTACTCCTTAATGAGGAGTAAATGAGTATTTCTTTAAAAACAAAGCTCTGCTGATGCTGAAGTTCACAAAATGCTGCTACCAGATTTTACTGCAGTACACCTCAACCAGGTATCACCCTGAAAGCTTCCAAGAGCTGGCAAAGGAACCCTGCACAGCATCTTCACAAACGGTACCTGTGCAACTCTTCTTTCTTACATGAGGTTAGGAAGACCCTGGCAGTACAAGGTACTTTGTCAGAGTCCTGGTTTCAGGAAGGAAGGCTTGTGTTAAGGCCAAAGTCAAGCAAAAGCTGATTTTGCTGCTGCTGAAGAAGGCTCCTATATACCCCTTTGTGTGGGCAGACCTTGAATTACATGGCCTTGAATTAATCTGGTCTGTACGTGAACCTGATAAACTCATTCATCTGTCTTGAGAAAGCAAAGACAGAATACCTCATGTTCCTATGCAGCATATTTTGACACAGAGAATAGTGCTGAAAAAGTGGAGTGTTATTATTTTTTATGTCTGTGTGAAAAGTTTGAACAACTTTTGAGCTTTTCAAATTGCTGCATGAAATGTTGCGCCACAAACACCAGCAGGCCCAAAATTCAGGTGAGGAAAGGGCAGGACTTCTGATTTATAGCAGTGCTTATGGATGGCCTTCAGTGAACAAAACCAGCAAAATGTCACAGGCAAAAGAAAGCACACACAGAAAAATGTAGTTGGATTAAAAAATCAAGGATAAAAAATACAGGAAACAATGCATACATTAAAATATTGTAAGCAAAACTTGCTATAGGAATTATAAAGCTTTCTGCAGACCTTGAACTAATAACACATGTATGAGACAGGCATTATTACAACTATCTTACAGATAGAACATTAAGGTTATCACCAACATTAAGGGACAACCCCTTCAGGCATTAGTGTCAGAACTGGGACTACAACTCTGTTCTTCTCACCCCTGTGGACTTCTCGCTCATGTTCTCATATAGCAGCCATATGACTACTTATAAAATGACATGCCTGGTTAACAGAAGAACTATGTTGAGCATTAGGAAAAAGCTTTCAAGAACACCTTAAAATACATAAAATTGAAAAAACAACATAAAGGAAACAAGTAACTAAGCCACTACAGATGGTTAAAGTCACATGTATCATCTGTACATGCCAAATCTGCATCTCTGTTAGAGGAACAGTGTATTTAAATACAGAACACATTCTGGTATAAGCTGAGAAGATATTTCAGCAAATATCCTTTCACGTGTGAACAGGAATGTCCATGAACTAAAGAAGGTCCATGGAAACCTACGTTCTCTGGAATGGCCTTATCACATTGTCTGCAACACATTAAATGAGCATCCTGTACTGGACATGACCTTACTGGGACACTGCATAGAAACAGCATCATTTACTTTCATGCAGGGAGCTGGGTTTCTGCAGCCCTTGCAATGCTGCAGAAGAATGCAGAGGGAGGCACTGGAGCAAAAAACTAGTGAGGAAGCAAACAATCAAAATTGAACTTTTAGCTAGGATATAAACCCTTTACGTTGCATCACTTAAGAAACACAAACAAAGGATATAAAGTTACCATCAAGTGCAGTGGTATTTTAGTTGGTCCTTTGGCAGAGATTTTCTCCCACAGACCCCTTCGCACGTACCGGACAGTAGTGCCTGCGATCTGAAACTCACCAGGAAGCTCAATTTTCCAGTCGCTGTTAATGGATCTCTTACTGGAATCTTTTAAAGCTGGAATGAATCAAACACCAGGGAATGAAATGTAAGTGAATTTGTAATTACAATATAGACTACTGAGGTTCTGTCTCAGCCCACCTGAAGAATATTGAGAATTAAAGATACTTGGAGTAACATGTCCTTTCCTCCAGCATAACCTATTGCATCAGGATCATTGATATCCTTCAAACACTGGAAAACAACTCCAGCCATAAGGACATCACATTACTGTTGACTCGCCAGTGCATGCTGATTTAGGGATTTATGTTTCTGTGTCAGAACGGAAGCAGAGTTATCCAGATGTTGGTGTGATGCACTGAGGGAAAGCCCCAGGCCCCTTTGTGGAAATCCATGCACTGTGATCAAATTTGCCCTGACATCAGACAGACAGAATAGCTCAAGTGTTACTGGGCTTCCTTAATTCAAGGCTAACTGTGTCTTTTAGCTAAGCCTTTAACAAGATGCTTTCTTAACCTCCAGCATTTCATGCCTATTTTATTCTCTGCAGTAAAGAACACAACCTTGGCTTTCACTTAACTGAGTGTGTTGCAAGAAGATAAGAGGAGCTAATTTAAAGCCTTTTCAAGTTAATACAAAAATCTCCCATTGTCATCTCTTTGGATCAAGTCCTCATACCACCCAAATCCTTCTGCATATACTAATGCTATATGTAACTGCCTAACACACTTAACAGACAAGGAACTGGACTTCTTGTCAGGTGCGTAACAACAGTTGGGTCTAATTTACCATGGGAGTGTTTGTAAAAATATTGGGCTATTCTACATAAACTTCCCTTTTATTCTTGTTGGCCATGTCTAACACCTTTTATATAGCTATTACCATGAAGGTTTCCTCAAGAAATGAGAGGCCAGCTCACCTCTTCCTCAAATGAAGTTTGAAAGGAAGGAAATCCCTGTTAGCTTTCTCTCTAGGGGTCTTCCTGAAAAGCTGTTCTATTTGGCTCAACAGGACAAGTGCCTGGCTCCACAGATCCCAGAGGTTCTGGTGCAAGTAAGAGGAGATACCTGAAGGAATTCCAGCACAGGGCACCATCTCACAGTGGAAACCTATTTTTAGTCTATTCCATATACAATGCACAGACATGTCCCCAGGCACCTGGAAACCCCTATGTTGTTAAAACAGTCCCTAGCATATTTTATGGCCCAGGTCAACTTGAATCCTGCTTAAAAACTCCTAGCATGGGTCAGGATCCAGAACTATCAAGGATCTCTTCTCAATAAGCAGTATGCAGACAGCCCCCTTCACTGGGGGCTGACAGCTCATACACAAGACGCTCCATGGCCACTGGCCTCAGTGCCCAGGAATACTGTATGGCACATTCAATTTACCAACTGAAGATCATTTGTACTATCTAACCTCGGGGGAAGTCTGGAGCAGGGGGAGCTCCATCCAGTGTCCTCTGCACCCCAAACTATTCTATGATTCTACGATCTGTGTGTGCCATTCTGAGGATCTGCATCCTGGGGAGTTACTGGAGAAAGGTGGACAATCTTTCCATCATACTGCACACAACCTTCCTGACAGCTCTCACGGCTCCATTAGAGGATCCAAAATCAGGGTGAAGGGAAACCGCACGTATGGTTTCCCATGTAGGATTGGGATGTATGTGAGGGAATGGTTTTCTTAAGGAAGCTCTCTTTGGCACATAGACAAGGGGTATGATGATGTCCTGGTATTTGCATGCTACCACAATATAACTCTGTCTGTGCCTTACTTCTCTTCCTGCTTTGTTCCTCCATCTACAAAGTACCCTCTGCAAACTCCAGACAAAAATCCTGAAGTAGGATTGCTTTCCTCTGCCAGAGCCTCGTGGCTTCCAGGCAGATCAAAGCAGCCATCACGCTGGCCTTGAGAAGCTGTGAACATGACTAATCAAAGCTGTGGATGAGATAAAACTATCTCCATGCAGTATGGCTGACAAGTAAAGATAGCAGGGCACATGCTCAAAACAGCGTATAAGAGCTTGAATGACTGAATCTATGCTTTGGTTCCAGCTCATCATCAAAGGAAGACGGCTCACTGATGAAAAAGAAAATGTTTAATCTTTGTGGACCTCTTTTCTGGGTAAGGTTTGATTTTGATTGCTGGAGGCACTGCTCCCTTAGTGACTGAGGAGACAGAGAGCTTGGAAACAGCTCCTTGAGGATTGCAGGGACTGCACTGGCAGCTCAGCAAAGTATTTGGGCCAAAGTATTTTTGCCACTGTTGGTCTTCATTGCACACAGGTGTCCCATCAGTAGGGATCAATGCTGCAGCTATAAAACCTTCATCTCTCTTAGAGTATTGCTCTTTCTCCAGTGGCTTCTGTGACACACTGAGAATAAACAAAGCACACAACAAAGAACACTTGCCCAACCTCCCTGAGAGCTCAGTGGCCAGAACTTGCCTGACTGTGGTGGAAAAGCCCAAACAGGAAAGCTGTTATGAGCCCTTTTTGCCAAGCAGCCTTCACTGATTTAAGCTGGTACCCACAGGATTCATTCTGCTTTGGACAGCCAGCTGCAGCAATCCTGGGACCCTGCATCTCAAACAGGGTAGGGAAGCACAGCTCTTTGTTCCCCCCATTGTGGGTACATTTAGATAGTAGTAAGAATCCACTGTTACAGCTCTAATATGTTTCTGGCTCAAAGTTGCACAGTAGAAGAAGCGAAAGGAACCCCAGCAACAACCCATAACTTCTTTTTTTCTTGTTGGCAGGAAGACAGGAACTGACCAATCTGCTTCTAAACCTGGCACCTACTCAGATCTTTATTTCCACCTTGGGTCCCTCCAGCTTACTTCCCAGCCTGTGGACACAAAGTGCAGAGGCATTTCCTGTTCAAGGTGGTTTTCAAGCATTAAAGCCAGCCAAGGCAGCCAGCGTGGGTTGCCTGTAGGTGGAGGGAAATTCTTCAGGCACTGCTCCCAGCACATGGAATAATGATTTCAAATTATGCTGGGCTCGTTTCCAAAGTGTGGTACCTGGTTCTGAGTGGAAACAGGACCTGACTGGACTCAACTTTGTCAGTGTAATTGAAATAGAAAATCCTTCTATATTCTGACCTAGATTTACAATGCATTATGAGGCCTATCAGACTGACTGGAGTTTGTTTTCTTGATCACCTTTTTCATCCTATTTGAACACTTCTGCTGGTATTTTTTCAGCTTAGGTTAGCAAGACATTGGGTATCTTTTCTTTGTGTCCAGTGTTCCTTGAAAGCAAAAACTCTGAAAAGCTTAAAGATGTTCTCCTGGCTCCTGAACATGACCCAGAATGCTCAAGGCTTTAAAATAGTCACGTTTTTATCTATCTTTATGTGATGCACAGAGGGCTAAGTACTGTTCTCAAATACACGCAGTCTTAATCGTCAGTGGGGAAATACCTGCTTTAGTAAAGTTTGTGTGGTCACAACGAAAGGCAGTTGCTAGCTCCATGTATCACTCACAGTGTGGTAGCTACCTGCCAAGGCCAAGCCCTGAACAAAGACCTGTGCAAATCCCACCAACAGAAACAAAAAGGCTGCTTCCAGAAGGCAGAGTATTTGTAAAACCCAAGGAAACACTGGTTCTCGTTGTTCCACCAGTGCTTTGCTATGTCAAACATCTTACATGTAGGCGTATTCCTCTCCCAGCAAGTTGGCTGCAGCAATAGTGGAAGTACTAGCAGTAGTGATACGTGCTTCCTACCAAGAAGTGGCACAAATGCCAATGCTTTTGACCTAAAGGCAGCTGAATGACATAATTTGCCCTCTTTTTTCCCCTCTGATGATTTGCTCTCTGTTTTTCCCCCGAATCTGGAATGAAAGACAGAGAACAAAAACATCTTTCCCAGTGAGCTTGCCAACTGCGGTAGCATCCCAAGACAGAAAACAAATAGCACTAGACCTGAAATCCTAAGGCACAATCACTATGTAAATATTCTCAACGGCATCCTATATCCCAGGACTGGATATTAACATCGCTTTTGGCTGCACACATGGAGGATTATAAGCAACAGACGTAGAAATCAGAAATCAAGGGTCCTAGTCTGACTCTGCTACTTATTCCCTGCATATGCATGAGCAAGTTGCAACACCTCCATTTCCTCTTCTGCAAAACAGAGAGCAACTAGCTTCTTAATCCTCCCAGTTCTTACCACAGGCTTGATGTATCTCTGGAGGCAATTTCATTTTTCAGAGTGCTTTTCTAGCCTAAAACCTTGAGATTTTGGATAAATAAAGTCTTTGCTCTGAGAAGCTCACTTTGAGAGAACCAGAACATGCACAAGTGAAAGCACCATCTAATAATTCCTAGGCTAAGGGACAGCTGGAATATGCATCTGCTCCAAACCACTGCAATGAGAATATCAGCACATGGAAGTGCTGAAACACTGTTTGATATGGAAGGACAAAAATAATGTGTTAATACGCTCATCAACAGCAAGAACAGCTGAGGTTTGACAATGCAGGGACATATAAGCTGCAAAAGTTCACTGAGCAAAGGAGGAAGTTTGGGATTTTCTCTTATCATTTTGTTTTCCCACATAGCATAAAGAATTTAAGAGAGACAGAATTTCCCCATTTATGTGTGGCCATGCAGCTCTGAGCGTGCAAAGGATGTTTCAATGTGCTGGGTGTTCTTTTGGGCCTTGGACAATTTTCCTTCAACTCCCTCCTCTGCCACAGGCATCTTGTGTGAATGCAGGGCAATGGGGCATCAGCATTCCTGTGACTTGGTCTCCCTAGAAGTAGATGGGAGCTAAAGCCCTTCATGCACTGCACAGTAATGGCACAAAAAGAAAACACCCCTAACACTGGAGAGAAGAGGCAGATCACCAGACTGACAGATGTGTGGTGTAACTGGCTAATTGCATTTTACAAATGTCCTTCGAACCTTTAATCTAAGTGATGAGTAACTGGACAAGAAATTTGCAGACAGACTCTGCCCTACAACAACCTCACATACAAATATGACCCATCACTCATGTCTAAAACTTTGTTTCCAACAGGGAAAAGAGGAAGCCTGTTCCCCTCAAAAGGAACGCAGAAGTAGATATGAGAAGAGGATTAAACATGCTGTTTGTAGCCTGAGAAAATCGGGACAAGTGGACTGGGGGCCGCAGCTAGCCCATCTCAGAGTGCAGGATCAGGTCTTGGGTACAGCATCAAGTGAAAACCTGCCACTGCAGGAAATAGTGCAGGTGACCTCATGGTTAGGTTATTGAGGGCTATCAGCTGTCCTGTCCTGCCTTTGCTTCAGTCTGAGTTGGGCACCTTCCTATCTGTATCTCTGTCATTCCTTTCTCTAAATGCACTGTTCTCTCTCCCACTCCCTCCCAAAGTTGTGTGCTCCTGGCAGTTATGTTCAACTCGGTGCCAAGTTCTGTTCAGGAACACTTCTGTCTACATAGAAGTATTCCCTGGTCCTTCCAAGTTGCATGGGGCCTGTAAATGTCACACACTATCACATCATGAAACCAAGCCATGAAAGCAGAGGGAGACTGCAACAAGAATGAAATCAACAGCCACTTCCTGGCAACAACAAGCCTATCATCTTATAGGTCACTTAGCGAAGGGTCATTTTGACAGAAAACAGAGCTGAGATTTGAAGGAAAACATTTGGGTTTTTTGTCTTTTTACCCAGAAAGCTGTGAGCAGGTTTATCCTCAACCACTCTGATCCGCCGGGCACCTGCAGGGATCACAGCTGCTTCGATGTAACCTATGGCAACAAAAGAGCAGATGGATGAGAACACGCCACAGGCAGCCAGAGGCATCAATCACTCAGTATCTCACCGTGAAAAAACAACTCCAGCCCAAGTTGGGGAATGGGTGGGAAACACTTCAAATGAGATCCCTGCATTGGCAGCCAAGTTTCACTGCTGTGACATGCATGGTTATGACTAACATTTCAGTCTGAGAGGAGAGAGAGAAATGCACGTGTGCTGCTTAATTGTGACTTGAGGCTTCGGCTTAATTAGATTTGCTCCCTTTGGATCACCCTGGCTCTCCTGCAGTACTGACAGGGATGCATGAGGACTGTTCCTGAGCTGATGCAAAGTGTCACGGTCAGGAGCAACACTGCACAGCACAGAACAGACACCTGGGATCTGAAATGAAGTTGCCAACAGATACTCTGCTTTCCCAGAAAAACCCTGCTTGGGGTTATGATCGATATCTGAAAGGACTCATTTCCACAAAACATTTTGATGATGTTAAAACTAAACAGCAGGAGTCAGTGGAACAAATGGGGGGGAAAAGGAGTTTTCACACTTCAGCTTTCTGTACAGAAATTCTGGAGGATATAATGGTAATGGTCTCCATGCATCAGGATGCTAAAGTAGAATTCCACAGCTTAGATTTGATGTAACAACAGAAATGAAAGTTCCTTAAGGACTGACCACCAGTCCCTCTAAACACTGCCAGCAGATGCACATGGCACATGAGACCATCCCAGCATGGGACCTGTAGGAAAGGTTTCAACAGCATCCCATCATATTTTTATAGAAATCTCTTGGGTTTTATCTTTCTGAAACTGTCTTGGCCCTTTCATGCTTCCCTCAACCACCAGCAATGTCATGCTATTATACCACTTTTGACTAACAGAATAACAGTAAGAATAATTAGGAGCTACAAGGAAACGCAGCCTATTTTTCCCCCTTCATGAAGCCATGTGGAGTTACAGACTTGTTCCATGGGGTGGAAGTGGTGCCTCTAAACTAGGAAGCTGAGGAACATTAGAGCCCATTTCAAAGGTCTGGGAGCCACACAGAGTTTTTCCGCTGGCTTCATTGAGCTCTGAATCAGGCCCCTGTGAATGACACTAATCTCATCGCAACCATTACTTGATTTCTTCTAATTGGCCACCCAGTTTACTTTGCAGTGTATAACTTGGCACCTCTTTCAGGTTATTGCTCTCCTCTTTCTTTTATTTTAAGTAGCTTATCCTCTATGTTCCCTCATCCCTCTTTTTGCTTTAAAGGCTCTGTGAAACTCCTCTGTGTCAGCCCTGCCTTTATGGAAATGGTGGGCAATCTAGAGCAATGGGTTGTAGAAATGCTGGCATGAAGAACACTGACCCCTCTTGCACTCAGCCATGTTTTTCCGCGATCATTGTATGTGAATGACAGATTCCTCCTTACTTCTCCTTTACTCAGGATATTTCAGAAACAGTCAGTCATCCCTTGCAGGAGAAACAGAAAGAGGGACAGCAGAGCTGCAAACCATGCCTGTGTACAGAAGCCAGAGCAGCAGCTCTCCCATTTGCTCTTACAGAGTGGGGAAAATCATTACTTTTTAGAGTAAATTTTCCTAAAGCCAATACTGAAACTTGTTATGAAATTAAAGCAGGAGTTGGATTTTATTCTAGACATTGCCAGGAGTTGTTTTTTCATCAGCTGAGATACCAAATTACAATCAAATCAGTGTTTCAGAAGTCAAACATCCTCACTGCACCCCATGCATCTCTAAACCCAATTGACAGTTATCACCAGACAGGAGCACCCAGAAAAGATGTGATTAATGACAGTCCATCATGGAGAAACAGGCCCCACGACACACCTGAACACCCTGTTAGGAAGCCAGTTTAAAACATGCCCAAGTTTCAGGTAATGTAATGCACCTCCTGGGGAAATATTTACTTATTTAGTTTTTAAATCACACGCCAGATACAAATGGCCAGAGTTGAATCATGCAGGGGCTGGATACAAAGTTATATTGAATTTAGTGGAAAGCCAGTTACTAACTTCAGTGAACTTTGGATCCGTCCCCTGCCCTAGCAGCAGCCAGGAGTGTGTCACACTGCTTTAGAGGTGAGCAAACTGTGGAGCTGTGCTCGAGGTTCAGCTAGTGCCATAAATACACTTTCATTTCATCACTGTGCCATGAGAGAAACACCACGTGGAAAAGTTGACTTTTATGTCACTATTTACAATAGTAAATAGTGTAGTGTAAGCTATTAATAGAGTATTCGTTCTGGAGAGTGTTTAGTTTGGATTTACACCAGATTTTTCTCCTCATGTAATTTCTAATCCTGATTAATGGCTTGGGGTGGGGGGGGCGGAGGGTTGGATTCACAGCTCCTGAATAAGGAGAAACATACTGTGCTAACTCACTGTGATCCTGTGGCACAAACCTGACTGCTGACCTTCACTCTTCTGTGAGCGAACCACTTTGCAGTTGTGCGGATCTGACCTGTCCTGTCAGAGACGCAGAATTCTTGGGCATGTCCCACTGGGAGCATCTTGACACTCTCATTTGTTATTTCCAGCAATACTTTGTGAGGTAGTGGTCAAATCCCATTGCAAACAAACTAGATATCATCCATGCAAATTTGCCACAGGTACAAACTCAGATCGCCACCACTGCTTCAGTCTGGTCCTTAGAGCTAATGTGAGGCTTCTAGTCACAGAATATTCCTGATCTTTGAGATAAGTGCACCAGAAAACACCTCCATTGTTTTCCAGGCACATTTTATTCAGCAAACTGTAACTGCAGATTCACAGAAAGATTATCAAGTGTCAGCCAGTGAGACCAAAAAACAAGTCTCAGAGTTGGCCCTGAGTCAAGGACTCTCAAGGATCTGTTGGGTCTTAGGATAATTGTCTGCAATGCAGGGGGTTGCAAGGTTGGGCTTAAAGTTCTGCTTTAAATGAGGAACTGGCTAAAGACTGATGAGATTTGGCAACTATCAGGCAGTATTTCTAGTAATTTCACCCATAAATCAGGCTGTTAAGATGAAGCTTTGAAAGTACAACAGGAGAACTTCATTATTTGATAATTTATAGTGTTGTATGTAGTATACTCTACCTTGGGAACAGTTACTTTGGCACGCACCAATCTTTCTGGATAATCTGCATTACATCAGTGTCTCAGGAATGTAAGACTGTGATTGAAGCAAATCCTAGATACAAATTATATGGTGTAACTCGTATTAGGAGAGACACCAGAACAAAGAGGTGGCTTTGTCATCAAGGAGATTAATATGTGAACAGTGGCTACTGTATCTTCATTTAAATGCTGGAGAGATTTGCAGGAGAAAAGTAGCTCACACAGGAAAATCCATTGTTAGCCATTGTTGTTATTCCCAGACAGAACAGAAAGTTTAGTGTGAACTTCAGAATGTCATTGATCTACAACAAAACCCTTCTCCTGGTTCACACTGCAGTGAAAGATGGACTTTGAGGTAAAGGAAAAATTATCCCATGGCTGAAAGTACTGATCTCTGGGCATTGTACCTTCATATCTTATCTCTGTACATACAGGAAAATTAGGTGTGAGAAAACTTATCCCATTATCAAACTTCCCAAAAGTGTTTTGAACAAAGATCTCAGGGTAGAAGCCAAGGAAAACAGGCTGCCCTGCCTACCTGCTGGTCACGGCCAGCACAGCTTCCATACTACATTAGGGATAAGTACCAGCTGGGCATCTCAGTTTCCATGACCCTTTCCACCTCGCACCTTTGTCTTAGTGCTAGTTGTTGCAGTGAAGTGGAAATACGTCCAGAGGTAACTAAACGTCCATTTTCTGAATAGTGGTGATGATTCTCACTTGTGATTAGCTTGAGGGTAATTCCTCCACTGGCACCTGCCCACTTCCAGCCATGGGATAGCTCATTTGGAAGAAAATCATTTCACTGCAGAGCCATGGATAGATTTCAAAGCCTCCTACTATTACTGTGAAGTTGCTTGCTGGGATTTCTAACTTGCATATTGTGCTTAAACCTTTATAAGAGATCCCAGAGTTAGCCCTAGGGCTCCTTTTTTCTCATTATTTAGATATACACCCTACTGACCAAAAAAAAAAATAAATGGTTTCTTGCGTGGCTAAGGATGCTTCTAACCAGAACTGCAGCTCCAGTGTTCAAACAGTCTTTCTTTCTCTTAAAATACGTGCTGGACAAGTAGTGTACACAATAAAACACTTTTTTTCACCATCTTAAAAAGAAAAATCGCTAGAAAGATACACTCTGCCCCAAATTATAGTTACAACAACTGGCATATCTCACCTTATTATGTTCTGCCATTAAAAAAACCCAAATACCTGTCTGTGAGCCTTCCTTTGGATCACAAGTCAAGGGCAGCCATGAAAATGTTGATATGGCTGAGAAAAATCAAGAGAGGCAGATAGAGACTTCATTCTCAGTGCAGGTCTCCGAGCATTACAGGCACAGCTTTGGGGTCTGGGCAGAAGGCAGCAGTGATAAATCAGCTACCCAAGAGACACAAGCCAAAGAGCTGTCTTTGTTTCTAGGTCTCCTGTACAGTGGCAGGGAGACAGACGGACTTCAGAACAAGTCTGTGCTTGGTTTTGAGAAATGACTTTGTAGAAATAGGTACAGGGCACGCAGCCAGTCAAAAGTAAACCTCAGTCTAAACAGTGCATTCAGTTGGCCTACTGGAACCAGCTGCAAACAAGCGTATGTGATGTTTAACATCACAAATAAAGGCTTTTGCCCTCCTCCTCAAAAGAGAAATGGAACCCATTTCTGGTTGGATCACTGTGGATCGCAGGTGGCAAGATGTGAACTGCTGGATCTCTCTATGAGACACTTTGGATGTTCTACCATCATGCCCCACCAGGGTGGCAGAATCTCATCCCTGACATTAAGGTTGATAAAAAAAAAAAGAAATAGATCTGGTCCTTTTTACCTGGTTGTCGTGGTTTAAACCCAGTCAGACAACTCTTTCACTCACTCCCCCCCTTTCTTTCCCTCCCCCTACTCCCAGAGGGATGGAGAGGAGAATCGAAAAGAATGAAAATTTGGCTTTCTTTCATGCAGACAGGTTTTCTGACAGGAAAGTATCTGTACTTGATATCTTTCACAAACCAAGCTAACTAGTAAAAGGACTTGAAGTTTATCCATGGCTTTTGATACCAATTTCCCCATCTAAACCAACCAAAAGAAGACAAAGAACCAACACCAAAGGATGTTACCAACACCCACTGACACTGCAAACAGCATTCAAGTATCTTACACGAGAAACACTTGGGAACAGCCTTTGCCTTTGCCATCACACATGTGGAAACCTTCTTACAATGACTATTGGTTACTAAGAAACAGAAAGGAGTTGGCATGGATTAAGATCAGTTAATAGGGCTTGGTAACACCATTTGCAATCACACAGGACATGTAGCAGGGACCAATCCTGCAGTCCACGGAGTCCCATGTGCAGAGCAGCTGAGGATCTGGCCCAAAGGTTGCAGCTGCAATCCCCAAAACAAACACCACTCCAAAACAATGAATGTCTCGATGTTTGAAGTCTATTCTCTTCTGAAACAATAAATCAGCATGCTTGACTCAGTGTGCTGGCCTGGACTTGGATCCCAGCAAGTTTGTGGGGACCTGCCACTGACCTGTGCAAACATTCACACATCCAAACGCTGAATCTGTTACTGGAGACATCTTGTGTGCTCTCCTTTGCTCCAACTTCTGTCAGATTGTTGCACATATTTGCTTACATGTCAATTTAAAGAAAAAAAGGCCAATTTCTCTCTTGAGTAACCTCATGTTTGTTTGCGATACTTCAGACCCAAGCCTGGACCTTTGCCTGCTGCATGAGATTCAGTAAGTTAACCCGAGGACCTGATCCTGCAGAACAGCAGGGCATGAACAGAAATTGATGGGAGTAACTCACAATGCCCAAAATGTTTGCAGAATCAGGGATAGGAATCATAAGTGAAGCCAAACAAAGTCTGCTTTCAGTGTCTAACATCAAAGAAATCCAAAAGCAGAAATACATGAACAGTGAATAATTAAAAGACTCTCAATATTCTTTCCATTTTAGATGGTGATTTTTTAAAAGAGCATAATTTAAAAGAATAAAAAGCAAAGATAATTTCAACCTGGAAGAAGAATGTTTGACATTTTGTGGATGTTACTTTTTAAAAACTATTACCACACACAATTTAATTCCCTTTAAAATTAATAAATCAAAACATCTAATGCATGTTTATGTGATTATAACTGTAGACACAAGTATTTTATAGATTATGTGAGATGGGTAAAGGGGGGAACACTGTACTGACAAAGCAACATTTGTACAGGTTTTTTGTGCTTCTGAGATGATCAGCAAAGATAAGGACTAATAAATGCTTGCCCACTGACCATGATTCAGCCAGCCATCTCTTCTTAGCTTGCAGTGCACTGGAGGTGAAAGCCTCCTGTAGAGTCTTGGCAGCCAGACAACCAGTTAAGGCTGAAAGTGTTCTGTTCCTACAGCCTTGTGAAGTTACCACCCTCCAGCAGTCTGCCTAGTTGGAAACGGGTGCAACCTCCTGGCAGTGACCCAGAAATCTCTTATTTATCTGCACAAGATGTTTTGTAGTCTCATTGGAAAAGATAAGAGAGAGATACTCTTCAGGAGAAATGAAGAAGTTCATGAGCAGCTATAAAATTAACTGCAGAAATGGAGGGGTTTTCAATGGAAATGAGAAACTTTTCCACCATTTGCATCAAAGGCAAATGCCTTCACATAAGCAGGTGGAAAATTAGTGGGACAAAAGAGTCAAAGACAATAATGCAGGAAACCATTCAGCAGGTAGGCCTAGCAGTGCAACATAGAATAGAATCATAGAATAGTTAGGCTTCAGAAAGATGTGGTGCAGGTGGGAAATCCTACCCGCATCTCAGAGGAGGTGACAGATAAAGCTGACTCCAAAGATGAGGAATAGCAGGGTACAGAGGAAGAGGTCAATGAACAAAATCAGAGGCTAAGGCTTCAATGCTGAGACTTTGATTAAAGGAAGCTGCTAAGTACTTGCGTGGCTTTAGTAACTAAACAGAACTGAATCGTGTGCTTAAAGGGAATCTTTATGTGCTTTGCTGAACTCAGCCCCAGAGCAGCACATGTTGAATCTATTTCTCCAAACAGAAATGGCAATTCTGTATTCACCGAAGGGGAAATAATTTTTTCTGGACAATTCCTTCCTCTTGGAGCAGCTTGCAAGTCCTGAATCTGGCTTTTCCTCCCTTTGCCTGATTAGAATGTGTGATAACAGGTTTCTCAGAAGGGCAATACAACAACTCTGGAACAAAGACTAATTGAGACACCAAGCTGTATATACATTAAAGTTTAACAAGAGAGGGAAAAGTCTTAACTCTGGCCGGAAGCTCTTGTATCCTATGTGGATATTATTGCTGGCAGGGAATCAGTGAAAATATTCAGAGGGGAGAGCTCTATCATTTAGCTGAGATATCCTGATTATAACATGAATCATCTACAACATGCAGCATGCAACATTCTGAGTTCTCAAAGAGCTCAACAATGGTGCTGAAATCAGACTTCCCTCACACTGAAAAAGACACTGTAATTCAGTCTCATTTAAAATCAACAGCCCTGGTAGCATTCAAAATGAGAAACACCTTCATTCTGAATTTCAGACAGAGGCAATGGCTGGTATCTGGGCAACTGGATAAGAAGCAGAGAGAGTATCACATTGGAATTGAACTGGGGGTTGGTTTGTGTTTGTTATGTGTTTACTAGGGCAAATGAGTCCAATGCTATCCAAGAAGAAGTGCTATTACTACCACTCTTTAACTCCCCTCAAGCAGTTAAGAAAGCCACCACTGCACTAAACCGCTGCTGAGGATTACTCACCCATCCCCTTGGTGTGGTTGAAGTCGCCTTTCACCACTTTACAGGTTTTGCCATCACCACTGCAGATTCCACAGCGATCCTCTTTGGCAGCTGAGCCAATGATTCCATCGCAGCCAATTTTCTAATGACAACAACCAGAGGTCCCCATTATTTTGTTTGCAAGGTTAAACTATTTCTATACATTGAGATCAAGACTAAGACAGACATCCAACTGAAAACCTGAATGGGAAGAGAACACTGGGAATTAGGGGAGCACTCACTTGGAATGGTGTTGAGTTGGTTATCCAACAACCCCCTTCCTTAACAATGAAAGCATGAACTTTGCTACAGAAGATTTAACTGAAGAGTTTCACAAACACTAGTTATTCCAGATACCATCATAGATTTCATACTAACCCACTCTAATTTCCTTCAAGCACAGCAGGTTAAAATACTGTTTCATGTTTCTATAGCAATTTCCATCTGAGGAGCTCAAAGACATCCTGGAGAAATGGATCTCTACAGTGATACTTAGTTTAGAGAAAAATATGTTCTCCTTAAGTGAAAATTAACCCCACTAACCAGAATCCTGGTCATAGCCCTTCACCATACAAAACCTAAGTGCTGTTACAAGTTCCCGTGTGCTGCTCACTGAATGAGCTCTGCTTCGGATCAGGATCTGAACAGGGAGTATAACATTCAGTTCTGATGACACTTCTGCAATACCTGAAGGAAGACCTCACGAGTCAGATAGCTCAAGACGCCTGCAATGCACTGTAGCTCAATGGAAGCAGGTCAGGTTCATATTTGGCCAAATTTGTACCATAAGATTGCTAAAACAATCATGACATTTTCTATATGCTTGCACTGTATTAAGCTTAGATATTCAATTGATAAAGAAAACCCCAAACAACAATTCCACCTAAAGCTTCATTTTACATGGTATTTTCATCATTTTCTACACCTACCTAAACTCTTTCTAACAAAAATCTAAAGCTTTGCTTTCACAGATGGGTATTACTAGGACAGTCACAGCATTCTCCCTGTAGCTATAGAGACTGTCATGTTAATCTTCCTTATTCCCCAACCATGTACAGGTTATGATGGTGAACATTGCACATTTGCATATCTTGAGGTTGATAAGATTTACTTTCATTTACTTTTTCTCTGTTTTCCATCCACGTAAGACCATGGAAATAATCAGCAATTCACTCTAAAAACATAAATTTCTACTGAAATAAGAGTTGTCATTATGCAAGTTATTAGGAGAGATTCTACTATTAAAAATAAGTTACAGATTTATTCTCTGTAGATAAACAGTTTCTTGGCACATGAGTTAGCATGACTGTCACTAATAATATTTGAATAAGGCTGTTGGGTCTCTTCCTTCTTTTGCCTTCTTAAAATGAAGCCAGAGGAAAAGTTGGAGGGAACTGAGGGAACAATCAAAACAACAAACATTTTGAGAAATAGGGTAAGCAGAGAAATATTAAGAGAACTTGGGCTGTTTATCTGAGACTGTCTGCGTGCAAGCAACGCAATTTGGACCTGAACTCAAACATTCCCCAGTTTCAGAAGACACTGGCCACTGCTTAAGTCCAGATGTACTACAGGGATCAAAGATTGCCAGTGTTCAGACGTGATCTGATGCAGCATTCATCTGGGTAAATCATTACAGACAGACCCATGCTGAGAAAGGATGATCATCTTAAACGCATACAAGGGAAATGCTGCTCATTAAGTAGAATAGCATGTAAGCTGGTGGGCAAGAACTACAGGGAAAAACCTGTATAAGTGGGAGTTAAAGGAAGGTATGAAAACGACCACAGAGTTTCTGGCAGTTGCAATTCTCAAGTCTAAACTTCACACCCATGTCCAACAAATAATTTTGGGATATTGAATGTGATTCTGCCCCCAAAACAGAAGGATGTCCCAGCAGTAATCCTTCCAGGAAAATAAATATGATTTATTAATGGGGTTGCTGAAAAGCAGCTGGAAATATATGCTTGCCTGCCACCCTGCTGAGATACTGGAAAAGCTGCATTTAATTTAAGACTCTAGTGCTATCTTTTATTGTCCTGCATTGTTATTAGCACTATGTGAGCACACAAATGAATAAAAGGACTATAATGAGTGTTGAACCACACTTATTCCCAGTGCTACATGAGGAGTCTATAGGGCTGTAATGGAGGAAGGCAAAGAATGGGGAGTTAGCAAGCACATGCTTTGCATTTACGCTGTAGTCTCCCAGATAATGTAAACCAGTGCAAGGCAGCAAAGCCTCTGAAAGAATGAATCCCCCCTCTTCTGACACTGGGGTTCAAGACAAGCCATTTCCTCCCATTTTGTAAGTCACTGACACACTTTGAAAGACCCTCTCTGAAAGCACGGACAGTGCACCCACTGAATCCACAAACACACCTCCCAAAACCTTTGCTGGTTTTTACCTTTCATCTTCACCTTAATTCCCTGAGAGTGGAGGAAATAAGAATGGCCACTAAAGCTTTCTTTTTGATGGCACCATCCCTCCCATCCACAGGGCAGACTTTGCCTTCAATCCAGGGCTTGAGGATTAAAGCCCCCATCAGATTTGGGCCAGGAAATGGCTTCTTAAAAAAGAAAATCTTTAAGAGAATAAATCAGCTTTCCTTGTTGGCTTTCAGATGATAATTGGTGTGATCTTGCTATTTTATGGAGAAAAAACACCTTTGAAGCACTTTACTCTTGTCTACATAAATATTAAAGCCCATTTCTCATTCCCCATGCCTTCCAATCATTTACAAACTACAAGTGTATTTGATAACAGTACGTAATGAAACAGCTTTTGTTAAGATTGACAGTGGATTCCAAAAGCTGCACAGTCATTCATAAACACATTACAGTGACCATCTCAGTCACTCAGGTCCTTCAAAAACTCCCTGCATTGAAAATACTGCTGCATTTAAGTGCAAAGAGGAAGAGACAGGGCTGGAAGGGTGAGGAAGATGATCCATTAAGAAGTGAGCAGGGCATTTGGAGCTCATCTGTGTTCAGAAGGAAGGTTAAAAAGTCCAAAGCCAGCCTGGTGTGAGCACCACCTGTTTAGTAGATGGTGGGAGCATTCGCCACTGTCAGCCCCATTCTTAGACTCTTGGAGCTTCCCTGTACAACCCAGCATGGACTTGAACAGTGATATCCATAACTCTGGCAAAGGGACTGATGTTGACGCCACTCATGTGTTCCACCTCCTTCCTGTACTAGCTGTTGAGAGCCTGTAGTGCTGCAGTACTGCTATTAACACCATCAATTGGACAAAGAGGAAGCAGATTTTAACCAAAGCTAGTTCCTTTCCCATTTTAAACCATGGGAGTGCTGGCAAGAAACTTAAAGATGGCCTTTTGGGGCTTCAAGTCCTTAGCATTGACCATCACAATTATATCTACAGGTTTCTTAATACACTTCAACACAGGCAGGCTCCTAAACTGACACCATGTTTTGGAACTATCCATTGACCTTGAAATTGGCAGGTAACTGCACATTTGCTGAGCCAAAGGCCTGAAATTAATTCTCTCTAAACTGATATCTCAATCCACCCATCCTTCCCTCCCCCCTTCTTCTCATCTTTGTAATTAAACATCTGAATATACTGCTTGTTGGGTGGTATTTCCAGCTTCAGTCATTGCTGGCTCCAGCATAGGAAAACTCCTCTTCTCTCCTGAATGCACATCATTTGGATTCTTCTGTGTGAACTATTTTCTGTAGTGCTTGGGTATTTTTAATGGTATTTTTATTTGTCTTTTCAATGGCTGTGCAAGAACTCAATTGATACAGGCTGCGTGAGTATGTTTTGCTACAGAAACACAATTCTTTTTGTTATATACACCCACCCTGTGTAAGAAATGACATTGTAGGCTCACAAAACTGTAATGCTTCCCACATGCTGAGCTAACTGGCTGTCTCAATGGATCAAATATAAATATTGATGCAACATGTGCCATTTTACAAATTAATCATGTATGGAGCATGCTGGTTATGACAGATTCATCTACACTGCCAATTCTTTGTCCATAATATCCAGTGTCCATTGATACCTCCAGGGGTGGATCACATGAAACAGGAATGTACATATGTGAGCAACTGACATTCACATCTGAGGGCAAACAAACTCTTATTTCTTTGCTTTACACATGACTTGTGAAGCCCTTGTGGATTTGAACAGGAGGGTGAGCCTAGATCCCTAATCAAGCAGTTCATCTCCATGTTACTCCTATTTTTGTTCCACAACAAATTCTGTGTGATGGATTGGAGTCCATGTAGAAGTTAGTTCAGCAAATATCCTCCTGTCATTTCCTGAGCCTTTAGATTTTATCTGAATCAGAGCAGCTCTGCTGGAACAGGAGACACTGCTTGGCTTAAATTAGCATTATCTTATCTGGATTAGATATGCAATTACACTTGCCCAGTGACTTTGTGTTTAGATCCCTTAGCAGTTCATGGGGATGCTAGATACAATTATTCTTGATAACCACTTTTTCACATTTAGAGCTTGAATGTTATGTGTCAGAACCCCTCTGTTCTGGCAGCAGAGCAGCCTATATGAGTGAACATGCAAATAATACAAAGTTTTTTCCCATCACAGGAACTCCTTTGCTTCTGTTCTCTGGTCACTTTCTGTAGCTACCCCTTTCTAATCCCTCCAAACCAACTTCATCTGACCTAATCCTACCCTGCCCTGGTTTGTACAAATGCCAACGGGCTGCAGATAACAAAGGATTTTATATCAAACACCCATTCTTTAAAAGAGACATCTATCATGTCAGTTCTTGATTTGAAAATAAGCAATATTTATCAGTATATGATATATTTATCTATACCTGTATGTATCTCCTTTCTGATCAAGTCTTATTCTTGGCTGCCCCAGCCACAAGCAAAATAAAAGCCTCCAGAACAGGTAATACAATTACTTGGCTATTACACCCTTTCTGTGGGTTAACATAAAAGAAAAATAGGGGGAACCAGCATGATTTTATTTTTCAAATCCCACTGTAAAGTACACTAGAAAAGCAGTAAGATACCAACAGCACCTTGTTTTTGTCACTGTGCCCCACCAAAATCCCTGACTCTGTTCCTAGGCCTCAGATTACATTGCTACAGAACAGAAATTGCAAAAAACAAAAAGGCACTTATACAACAGGTTTCTGCAGTTCAAACACTGGACTGTGTGCACATACACTAAAATAATTTATCAAAGTACAGTGCGAAGCCAAGTTGTTGTATGGAGACAAGCTACCCAGTCTGGAACATCTTGTATCACAGTTTGTAATGCAGGAATATGAACAATACGTGGAAAACACTCAAGTGAGGAAGCAAAGCCAGGAGTGCATGTATCAATCAAAAGCAAGAAGTGGGTACTGAGTATGTAGGAAATTGTTAGCCAGCACCAGGTCCAGTAGACAACTGCAATTTATCCTCTGCCACCCCTGGCCCTCTCCTGATACTTTGCCTATCCCATGTGAAAAACTGCTCTGGAAATGTGTCCATTTTCAAGTTTGTTCCCCTTTCCTAATGTATGACAATCATTTTTATAAGAAAGCTGTTCTATAGTATCTCTGCTGTGCCAGGACAGCCTAACATGTGGCTTGTCATCACAGAATGTCCTGTGGATTCACCAGCAAATTAAAAGTAGATGTGACATGACAAAACGTTAATGAGAAAACTGTAGTTAGAGCCAGAACAACTTCACCTCTTAAATTGTTAAATCACAGCAAAGACTGCCCTTGATCTCTAGCCCAGTTCCACTACGCAGGAGGTCTCTGCTTTCAAAGAGACCTTAGATTACACCCTCAAATACAATCTGTAGTCCCCACTGGAAAGTTTTTGTGCTATCATGAGCCTCAGACTAATCCTCTTTTGAGAAAAGCCAGCACAAAGTCATGTGCATCACAGCAGTCAGCTGAGCAGCTTGTCTTCTCCCCACACCACTGCTGTGTGACATCTGACACCTTTTTAGCTCTACTTCTGCCAGTTTTATATTAACGTCAGCAGCACAGAGTGAAGAACTATAAGAGGTTCTAAAGCACACTGCTTCCACCAATCTTGATTCATGAAACATACACCAGAGTCTTAAGGAAGAACAAAACTCTCAGGGAATCCTCTCTCTGAAAGCCACATGTCACTTGAAGAGAAATATGGGAAGATAAAAGCAATCTGAGCTTCAGGTTGCACTGCCCTATTCCATCTTCACCATGACTTCAATGCCCATGCTAGAGAAAGCAAACTGGGAGCAGGCAAGGGAGAGGCTGCCAAGACGAGACGAGCATTCACCCTCCTCCTCCTCATATCCATCAGACTGATCTTCTTCTCCAGCCTGCTACAGATCTTGTGTCTCTGAAAAGTCTCAGGAGAAAAGAAATTCTCCTTGCTAGAAGACTATGTGCATTTTGAGAAGAAAAGTTCAAAGACCTGTGTACACACTGAACAAGGCCTGTAGTTTGCTTAGAAGATAGCAAGGGTAAGTGCATTTGGCATTACTTTTGAGGCTTCCTTTCTCAAAGCCTCCCTCTTCTTGCAAGTTTTTCTTTGCCATGTTCTTCTACATTGATTCATCATGTAACAATGATGCATGAGTTCCATTTAGGAGCATCTACTGCTGAAGGGAAAAGAGCTATTACATTTCCTGGACTAGATGTTCACAGGCAATGGTTACTGCTAATTTGTCTGTTAAACTGGCAATGTGTCATTCCTGCCTTTGAGAGCCTTTAACTAGAAGGATTACACAGGAAAATAAATAACTATAATACCACTCTCTGATTTCAGCACTTATTCTCTTCTTCAGGCCCCCTGCAATGCTTGTAGCCAGGCTTTGTCTGCACTGGGTAAGAGTAATTAAAGAAATATGTTGATTAAATTGGTTTAATAAGCAGGGGAGTTAGATGAGTATCTGTGGCAAATGGGGAACACAGTCACATATGGCAACTCTCAGCTCTATATAAGGCAGAAGAGGATTATAAATGAGTTCACAAGGCTTTCAAGTCTGCTCGGCTTGAATTGATCATTTTGCATTTTCTCTCAGCCAGATGCAAATGGACTGAATGTTCTGCAGCTGTCATCACTTCTCTGCACAGTTAAAGGCAGTTGCCCCCGACTTAGAGTGCAATTTGCTTTTCATGATGTACCTCCAAAGCTCTGTGCTCATAAAGGTTTTCATTTGGAGGGGAGCTGGCTACTGCTCCTCACTGGAAGAAGAAAACATACATTGCCATAATGTGTGATTTACCATTCGTGGCTGATCTGAATGTTTGGAGCAGTGAAGCTGCCAGACCAGTGTAATGGTCAATGGCACACAGCTGGAGGTGCACAGCTGGCCTTACTATAAAGGTTAGTAATGGATTTTCTTGAGGCTTTTTTTTCAGACACAGCTGAAAATAGGGGAAAATTAAGTAACTTGGGATGCACAATGAACCTGGCTCTATGCAATGCTCTTTGTATTAAAGAGCATCTAATGAATCAAATTTGTGTTGGCTTCCCAGCAACTTGCTGTTCAGATCCTTCATCTGAGTAAATTAGACTGAATTAAAAATGCCTCTTCAGCGGCATTTGGCAGGGAGCAGTGGGAAGTGTGTCCTGCAGCAGTGCAAAACTCAATCCAGGCAAAGATTTTTCACTTACGTCATCACACTGCTCTTTGTAAAGTTGCATTATGCCCCCAAAGGCTCTTTTACACCAAGGTGAGCATTGTGTTCATCTATCTCCCTGTCTAAAAGGCTCAAAGCAACAAGAATTGGTAGTTCTTCATCACTGCTTAGAGAAATCAGAGATAATGCCAAATTTGGTGTGCCTTCTGCCCCAGGGCAAGCTAGCATATCTCCAGTGAAGTTAGTGAAAGTAAAGGGTGATGCTAGAAAGCTGTTCTGGTGGTTAATATTCAAAAGAGGAACTCCTAGCACAGGATATAAATCTAGATGAGGATAAACTCAGAGGAAGAACTGCCAGGAAGAATCCAGCACTGGCAAGGCTGCAGTAGCCAACTCAACTGTCTTTCACATCACTAACATGTGTGAAGCAAACTTTGAACACATTACATGAGTAGGAGAGAGAAAACCCACTAAGTGCCTTGTCATAGCATCCGGGACAAATAACTTAAATCCAACTGCAACACACTGCTAGAAGCACCCATTCCAAATGACTTCCTGTAATTTATGATCTTTAAATAAACATTTTCTTCTCTCCCTTCCCTTGTCCAAACCTTATACTTCCAGTTAATATATGTATACACAACTCCACTATGTTTTCAAGAGATCAGAAATACCAGTTCTAAGAGATGGTTTCCCTAAGCATTTGATGTGCTGTGTTACAAACTGTCTCACTGTCCAGCAAAGAGTTGCATTAAAAAGAGCTCCCACACCTAATTTTGGTTCCATATGCAATTTGGCTAGAGAGAAATAATCATCATTGCAATGGTAAAAGGCCATCACACCTTCACTCCAGGAAAAGGGAATCAAACCCAAAGACTTGAATTCAAGTGCATTTCCATTCTTGACTTGTCTGACCAAAGATAGAAGGAAGCAAGCATGCTCAGGGTTTGGCCAGTCCATCCAGGGACAGCCACGGGACACTGACTGTCCCATTGCAGTACAGCAAAAGGAGGCCTACCCTCCAGTTTCTCTGATTTGCCTTTTGTGTGACCCAAGTAAGACAATTCAGAAGAGAGACAAAAGCAAGCTGGCTTGGTTTGTGCTCTGGGCTGCTGGATCTGCTCCTTTAAACCTATATTCTCTGTTGCACAGAGGTTTAAAACCTACTTTGTGGGAAGAAGGGAACCTTTTTCTTACTGCAAGGGGAACAGGCCTTTCAAACAGTTTTGATAGGCCCCTACAGTAACTCACTTTGTCATTATATAGTAATACAGTCAACAAAAAACACACAGGGAAAGCTACTGCCTCCTGCAGCTGCAGGATCCAAGGAGCAACTGGTATTGAAAAGCTTTCTCCATTTCCTAGGCAGGAAGCAGGTAGACCTAAAAAGTGTCATGATGCTGGCAATATAACACTTGTAACAAGCTAGTGACAATCTGTAATCCAGGATTGCCTTCTCACCTCAGAGACAGCCTCCCAGCCACCCACACGGATGCCTGTTCTTCTAGGATGTACGCAGCTCCCCCAGACTACCCTTAACACTAGACATAAAACAAGAGGAAGTTACTCCACCTGGCACTTGCCATGTACACAGAGGTCAGTCTCATAAGGCCCACATGGAGTACCATCAAGGACTCTGTCTGTCACCAGCACAGGGGAATCCTTCCCCAAGGGAGAGCAGAAGAGCTCACATGGCTTATCTGGAAAAATAAATACAAAAGCAAATGCCTTTAGAACAGCACAGACAAGTGTTTGAGACAATGGTGATGCAGTCTGTGTGAATGGATTTGGAAAGCTATCTGTCCTTTGAAGGAACATAAGCCTTTCAATTTAGGCCTGTCATTTCACCACTTTAAAATCTCAGTATTCACCAGCAGACAAAAGTTGCATTTTTCATCCATGCTAATGGCAACCATTGTATTACGTATTTAGTCCTCACTTTGGAAAAGCTACTACCATGTTTAGCTAGAGAAGGAGTTAAGTAAAAAACTTTTTTCAAAGACTTGTATTATTAACCAGTAGGATACAGCAGATGTCAGGGTTTGCTGAGTGCATTTGCCATACATTTAAGTAACAGATATTTAGTCAAATATAATGGTTTTCCTTTGGAACTGACTCTGCTACTCACAGACTTCATCCAAGTAAGAACCTATAGACATTCTGATTGAAACATGTTTTGCTCTGCATAGCCAAGTACCTCCACTCATCACACGTAAGAGAGTATTGCCAATACATTGAGCTAAGTGGTATAGGCCTTTTCTAAGTTTCCAATGCAATCAAAAACCTGCAATCAGGATGTGAAGCTGAGCTGCACTCAGCCCATCTTGCTTGACACAGGAATTACATGCATAGCCTGTGGATGTTCAAACTCCTGCCTTGTGTCTGATGCAAGGCAAATTTGCAGAGGCTGGATTTTGACTTCACTTGCAGACTGAACAGAATAGTTCTGAAATTAGTCAGGGAAGTAGCTCTGCATTGTGCATTCAGACAGCAAAACTATTTGGAGAGGGGAGAAGAGAGGAATAGCAAGCAAAACCAGCCTGTCTCCTGGGGCATCTGAAAGAATTGTGCTCTTGGAGGGTCTGCTATAGGAACTGAAATGATCTCTGTATGATTGTCCTGGCATCAGACCTAACTTGTCAGTGCTAGCACAGGAAAGGGTTTATCCCATGTCTGGTCTTCTGGTATCAGTTCCAACACCACCCTCCTCTGTTCAAGCATGTCTTTTAAGATGACCAAATGAAACAAGCCTTGTCTGTTTTTCAGCAGAGTGCAGCGAAAGATGTTTGCTCCTGCAGAAAGAACATTATTACAATCCTTTTTCAGATGCCCCCAACATTTCATGGAATAGTAGATGAAGAGCAAGATCTAGCAAAGGAAGCATTAAAGGAATGTAGGTAGGATAGGCATTCATCCTGAAATGCCCAGAATTGACACACCGAAATATCCCAGGGAATCCTTCTTTTTTTCAGTTCCAAATTAATTTAAAGACCCATTCCCAAATACCTGCCCGTTCAGACTAGGGATCAAGTCAAGGCACTTCTCCCCCAGCATTACAAGAAGAGGAGCAAAGAACTAACAGCTCTGTATCTTCAGTTAAGAAGGCTAAAAGAACAGCAAGGCAGCACCAGAACAGCTAATTGTAGTAAGTCTTTCAGTTGTAGCTACGGGGAACATATTGTAGCCTTCTCACCAGCAAATGGGAGTCTTGCAGATGAAATCAAGATGGGCTGAGAAGCTGCAGTGAAACATCATCAAGGAAGTACAGAAAAAACTTACCATCAACAATGACAGCTGTCAGGAGACTTTTCTTCTTGTTGGTGTACCTGTCATGGGCCTGACACTGTTGGTCCCTGAAGCTTGGCACACCCTTAGGGCAGGGTAAATTCTCACACACAGTGTGCTCCACGCTGGCTCCTCGGCAGTTCTTCCCTCCTGGCCCTGGGCTATTGTAGGAAAACCAAACCAGAGTCAGCAGGAACAGCACAGATTCCCACAGGAACACCTTTACCTCATTTTCTCTGCCTAAGGCAACTCATGAAACAGCAGGAAGGATCCTTCCTCTCAGATGTTCCTTGTTGGAGGGCAAATCCTGCTCTCAGGGGCTCTGACAGAAAATTATTCAAGCTCCATTCTGGATCCATAACTGGCTTACCACAACAGATGCCCTGGAGTACTTCAGAAGCATGTTCTTTTGTAGTTTGCCATATAGATCAACAATAGGAGCTGCCTACAGATACACTTGGATAAGAGGTAATCCAAAATGCTGTTCACCTGTGGGCACTAAGCAGCCTTCTTGGAAGATATAAAGTGCTTAACGGTTTGTATTCTGGTCATGAACTGAGAGGTGTGACTAATTCTGCACTGCTGACCTGGGTTTCTTCTTTGACTTCAGCAGCAATTCATTCCTGTCCTAACCTATTTTCAGATGGAGCAAGCAAATGACCAAGAAAAAGCAGACAGATTATGTGCATGTGTATGTACCAGCAGTTTCAGAACAGGACTTGAAGTAAGGCACTCCCAAACTTTGGGCTCTGTCATGACATCAAGCCTGAGCTCTAACTTCTCCTGCAACTTGGGACAACTGCCTAGAGGCACCAAGGTGACATTCATGTTCCCGGGATCACACCAAATACCCAAGGCAGAGGCAGGCAACCCTTAATGTTTTGCCTTTCTCTTCCTACCATTTGCTCTCATGCTGCCTCAAAACACTCTTAACAGCGGACACACAGCAAACATCTCTTCTCTGAGGTTCTGTCTTCAGCAGTTTGAAATGAAAACAGCATATAAGAAGCTATAACCTGTACTGTAAGTAGGGTGTCCAGAAACAAACCTGTGCAGCAGATAATCTGCATCCAAGAAAACCAGGCCATTTTACACATTTGGTTTTTAAACATGCAGGAAAGGCAACTAATCCAACATTGGGATTAAGCACCTGCAAAATCTATTTATTCCTATTTATGATTCCCCAGAGAAGAAGAAAAACCTCAAGCTCTCAACAATAGCCTGTGTTTTGTTTGCAAAATAAACCAAACCAAGCACAAACAAAAAAAACAAGTAAACAGAAGACTTGGCCATCCTAACAGGTAATTTCTTCACCTACTTTTTGATACTCTCCAGAATTTGTCACACTTAACTGACCTCTGAAATCATATTTCAGTATTACAGGTCTCTTGGCACATTTAAACAGGATACTGAGGGTTTTCATCATGCAAGATGAAGAAAAACAGTGTCAGCCACACTCTCTGATTACCCAGCTCTTGTTCATACATCTTTCTTTCCTGCTTCATTCATTTATGTGGCTTCATCATTGTGTCCCTTCCACCTTTCCAAATTCTGAGGCCAAGACTTTGGGTGGCATCACTATCAGATTCTGCAAAAGAACCTGAAGGGACAGACCCCTGTCATCCCAGATCCCAAGCCCTGTATAACATGGGCTTTAGCAGTGCCTGGGATTTCCAATAAATTCAGTTCCACCCTGATATATGCCTGAAACAGTGACTGTGTGAGATCTCGTGGTAGACAACTCCACAGCCTATCTTTCACTGTATTTATGCCAAAAGAATCCACCCACCAATGCAGCTGAAGAAATCAAAGCCCATTTCTACTACCGTGACCCTTTCACATGACAAGAGGGGACTGGAGAAGGGGTGGAGATCTCATCCTGCTCCTCTTTCTAAGCCAGTGTTTTTTCTCTTCAATCCCACTGTACAATAGCCCAAAGCCTAGACAAGAACACAAGGCAGTACAACACCAAAGTCTGCACGTGCAAACTGGCTCACGACACACTGCCTTACAACCATTTGGAGGCAATGCAAGCAAATACTGAGAGCAATTACAGAGAGGAAAAACCAAATCAAACAGTGAAGCAACTGGTTTAAAAATACTGATAGTCCCACAGGCTCACAAGTCAGCTGGCAGGAGCAGAGATTCCAGCTAGAAAAGCAAAAAAACAAAAAGCCAGAGACCAAATATATATGAAATAAAAGATAAATCCCTTAGCCAATATTTTTGGACAGTGAATAAACCAGCTGCAGAAGTGGGCTGATGCCAGGAATCTGAAGTGAAAGAAGATCACGTGTGTATCCCCAGCCAAGAATGTATATGAGAAAGAGAATTTTAAAATCAGTGTGCAATCTTGGAGGGAGCATTTCCTGTAATTTAAGGAACGATGATGAATGGATTTAGGTTTGGTCAGCACTGTGGTTAAAGAGACTTTATGTAGCTGACAGCAAAGAAACCAGCTCAGCCCCTTGTTCAGGAAAATGAGCTGGTAAAAATCAAGCCTGGACACTGTAGACATGCAATTGCTGTTCGGTGTTATTTAAGGAGAGAAATAAACAAATATATCCCCTTCACATGAATACAGCTCAGCAGACATCCATCATCTAGGCATGTCTTCAAAGTGACTATGTTGCTAGCCAGGATTTCAGCCCCTATTTAAAAAGAAAAGTTTCCTGTGCTTTGTCTGTGGAGAAAACCTTAAAATATGAATAAAGTTAGAGATACACAACTTGGAGGACTGCTCTCAAGATTGTGAGCACCCTTACTCACTGAGAAGTTAGAATGTACACAAACAGGGGTGGTCAGTTAAATAGCCACCATAACCTCTTCAGGCCTTCCGTAATGAAAGAGTTCCAGATGTGCCTCAACTGACCTGGGAGATGAAGGATGGAACATGGCAAATAACACTTTTATTCCTTCCTGCATCAGAAAAAAAGTCCAAGCCCAAGCAGAGAGCATAGGCTTATCTGTGGTGACCGTGCAGGACCTAAACAGCATCCACTGCACTCTGTGTACAGGAAACTTTCCTTTTCCTACACAGCACATCCCAACCAACAGAATATCTTGAAGTGCTTTATCAACATAGCTATATGACATGAGGACCACTGTCAGCCGCTCCATTGCTTCCCAAGCCTAGAGCCAGTACTCCCTCTATCTCTAAGACGTATTGGCTCAGTTTGGTTGATGGATCCAGACCAGGCCCTCCTTGTTCTCCACAGTGCTGGAGAGGAAACACAGCATTGCTTTTTCTGCCAAGCTGCCCATTTTGAATTCAACTGTATCTATGTTTGAATCCTCCCAAAGGGCCACCTCCAATGGTAACCCTTCAACAGAGCCAGCTTCACTCCAACTCACTGCAGGATTTTGACCTGATCCTTGCTGCTTGTGAGCAAGAAATCTCCCATATCCTCTGCACAGCTCTGCTGCCAATTTCCTCCCTCTACTCGCGCAGCAAGGATTGTCTAAGCACTACCTGCAAAATGCCATGAGCATGCAGTGAAGACTTACGGGGGATTGTCGCATTTCCTCTGTCTGAACCGCACTCCTGTGCCACAGGTCCGGCTGCACATGCTCCACTGACTCCACATGCTCCAGTCTCCATCAACGTGCTCAGGGATGGGAGTTTTGCTGACACATTCCCCAGCTCGGCACCACTGAAATGTAATTGTGTTAGCAGCACAGGCTGGAATGAAGCCCTCATCTTGCAAACATTCCCTCACAGGTAGACTTAAAAGGATGTCTGAGAGATTACAACAAGCCCGTGTTTTGTTTCTAGAGATTCAAGGCTTCAGTGAGAGCGAGGTGAGCGGAGAAGAAAAGGAGGAGGTGAAACAGAAATTCAAGTGTCACTCTCAACGAACCCCCGAAGAGAATTCTGTCATTAAAAAGTAAATCACGGATTTGAGCCCCTTGCTTTATAAAGCAGATAATTATCTCAGTGCTAAGTCTTAAAAACTACACTTTATAGAGACTGAGTCCAAGACTGAGTCCAAGAACTTATACCCCAAAGCAATGTCTTCATCAGCAGAATTCCCAGTACGTTCAAAATAATTGAGGGATTTTGGACCTAACACGGCTAAAGCCCCAAACAACCTTTGATTCTAATAGGTTGTGCTGGCTCCTGACCAAGCAGCAAACTTGGCCTGTTCTCCTGCTCTGTCCAGGATATGATACAGTAAGCACTGCTAAGCAGTCTTACGAAAGAATCACCAGGACTCCTGTTGCTAGAAAAACACATAGCTAAAAATCTTTTGTCTCCATTTCCTTGTCATGCTTTCCAGGAGCCAGCTTTTCTCACCATTGTCTATTTGCAAGCAAAGAAAAGGTCTCTCATCTTTGGTTTTGGCAACAAACTGCTTAATTTTACACTTTCTTATCTCCCCAAACACACAACGTACAAAAATGATCAGAATCCAAACACAGTAAGGAGGCTGCTGGCAGTTACCAAACCAGTCCAGTTCCTTCGTAGCCTATCAAGTTATCAGCTGCACTAGGAGAATCAGCCACGTACATTAATGATCCACATACCACCTAGCACAGCCCATCTCAACAACGGTGAAGGGGAGGCAGCAGCTGAGCCTCAGTAAATCCCACTCTTACGGCACTGAACACTGAAGCCAGTTACTGGAATGGTGATCTTCACTTAGAGTGATTTCACTTACAGTGAAAGAAAAAACACCTCACTCATGAAACACCACTGGCAGCAATGCCCTGAGGTGACACGAGTGTGCTACTACCTAAAAGGACTCGCAAGGTGCTCTTTGCACTTGGAGTGAGGCCTGGGGTTTTCCTGACGTGTCCAGAATGCCCTGACCACAAGAACTTGACTACTGAGCTCTCCACAGGCTACTGAAATACACGTAACATAAAATCAGAAAGACTTAACCCAATCCAGCTGTTAATTGAGCAGTTTCTGTAACAGAATCAGTATAAAATATGGGTTTAAAGTAACTACCTAACATCATGGAAACATTATTCCACAGACAATGCTGGAAAAAACAAAGTGACTGCTAGTGAGCATTCTGATTACCTTGTCTGCGCCACATTCTGTGCCATCCAGAGGGGGGTCCAACTTTGTTTTACAGGATGTATCTCCTTCCACCAGGCACCAGAGCCCAGCACACATCAAATGCTGTAATCACAAAGCAATGAGGTGCAGTTATTACTTTTGGAGATGTCAGCTATCATTATGGGATACACTTCAAAGCTCAGGCAGCTTTCTCAAGTGAATCCAGAGGCATCTAGTTGGTTTGGGAGCAATTATTTTTAAAGGATAGATTGGCATTAAGTGGTGGGGCTGGTAACATAAAAGAGATTAATGGATTCCATTGATGGGAATAAAACATACCCAAAACAGAAAGTGGATTATTTAAATAGATTCCTTTTCACAAGAATAAATCTGGTCCATTAAAAAAGAATCCTATATGGGAGGCCAAGACGGGTGCTTTGGAACCAAGCCACATGCTTAGATGTCTGAGCTGCTTCATTACCTGGTGTGTTTAAAATGATATCCCAGTAACACAGTCAGCTTTGCTGGATTTGATGGTAGGGGTAATCAGCCAGCAATGCCTCTTGGGAGGAGAAAAGCGTAAGGTGGAATGTGAAAGAGGAAAGGGTTCCATGGTGTGCCATGCAGCAGAGGAGGGGCCAAGTTAGTAAAGGTTTGGTAGGGAGAAGTAGCTGCTAGAGACCAGTGTGCTAGAGAAGGTGAGAAGTGAGGTGTGAAGGCAAGAGCAGCACGAGGTGGAGCACATCTCGCTGTCAGACTTGAAACACATTCTGGGTGTCTTTACTCAACAATGCTGCTCTGCTCAGCCCACATGTGCTGCAGGAATATTAATGCTGACCACACTTGCATGATCTGTCAGATCAATATGCTTCTTGAGGAAAAGAACCAGGAAAAGCAGCTTTTACATCATTAGCATCCACCAAGCTTTGCAGTCCTTGAAAGTGGATGATTTCAATAGAGTGCTGCAGATCTGAGCACCAAAAAAAAGGGGAAAAGAAGAGTTACGTTTCTTTCTACTATTGTTCACGTTTGAGTGTAATGGTAAAAAGATGAGGAGCTGACTCTCGTGCCAGCTGGTCTTGTCAAGATTTATTGCACCTCATTAAATAGTTGAGTCAACACACTTCAACCTTATGGTTCTTTCACAATGTAATTTAAGAGACCGTGGGTGCCTGTGTGTTTTGTGTACACGCATGTTGGTATGTCTATATAAAATAGATCTGTATGGCAGAGGGTGCAGACAAAATAAATCCCAATACCACGAGTGATGATGTAGAACATACTGAAACAAAATAGTGATCACAGCAGTATCTGCATCCTGCTTTATTTCCACATATTTTTCTTTTGCACTATTTAAACCAAAAGAACATTCACAAAAACTAGAAGCAGAGAACGCAACTGAGCAACATCTGTATTAACCACAACACAGAAAGCCATCATCAAACAAAACCAACAGCAAATACACCAGGGAAGCCTACATCAATGAATTTTCAAGGCATTTCCCTGAACTAACAGAGCATATGGGAAAATATCAGACTTTAGTCATTTTGACTAAATGGCTGTGACTAATTAGTGGTTTACCCACAGCTCTGAAAGCACTTCAGCACCAACTGGCTGTGAGGACATTACACACAGTTTTACAGATAGGTACACTGAGGCAGAAAAACAGAGAGTTCACAGCTTGCTGAGACAGCTATTGTTCCACACTGTAAGTACCAGATGCTCCAAAGCTCACCATCCCTGGAGAGGACTAAAACCAAGAAGTCCATCAAGTAACTGTCCCTCAGCCTTACAGAAAGAATGATAATCCGGGAAGAAACTATATAAACCAAAAAAGCTTTTCCCCAAAATGCCAAATTTGCAGCTCTGTGAGGATGTTTGTTTTCCTAGTTGTCAAGTTATAGCACCCTTGCATCTGGTTTAACTCACTGGGATCTACAGGTGATGGGCTATTCTTTATGTTAAGACTAGACATATGATTAAAAAGAGTTCAAACCCAACAAAGATATGTCAAAGCATGTCACAGACTTAAGTGGAAGGTACCTACAGGATAGAATTAAATGCAGTTTATGAACATAAGAGACTTGCTAAACTCTAGCAGCTTCCTTGCCATTACAAATAAGTGTATTGGTCATGATGTTACTGTTAAGCCAGATTCAGGAACTGACAATCTGGACTCTCTTTTTCCCCTTGATGACTGTGGCCAGTGATCTTGTGAAAGCACTACCAGCAAGTCCTCCCTTCAAACTGTGGGTGGGGAACACCGAGATGTAAAATGAAGGGAAGCCTCAGAGGTGAAGGGTGCAGATATAAAGCATTTCCATTTTTTTTAGGCTTCAGCCCTCTCTTACACATAACCACAAAGCTTCAGAGCAGAATGTGATGAGAAACCCTCCAGCATGATCTCTTGAATGACCCAGACAGAAGTTTTGCCCCATGGTTCCAGAAGGAAAGCCTCTGTTCTGCTTTCTGTTCAAAAGACATCCTGGCTGAAGATGTAACAGAATTCACAACACCCCTGAAGAAGTTGTTCTAGACACATACAGGCACCACTGCTAAATATCTGTGCATTATTCAAGGCCAGTATTTGTTAAGCTTGGATCATGAATGGCATGTAAATTAGGGTTAAATTCTCCTCTTTGATGTACAACTGGGAGGAGGAAGGGGGAGTGGTGGAAACAAAGTTTATTTTCTATTAAACTTAACACAGAAGCAGATTATTGTTTGCCAACCAGAATTGCCCCCTAGCCCACAAGAAGGTGGCGGTGACAAAGCCAGACAATATGCCCAGGTATGAGCCATGGCCTGGGGGAAGCAATGGGGAAAGCACATTGGGGGAAGCAATGGGGAAAGCACATTGAGGAAAGCTCAAAGAGGTGATTCTGTACAAGCAGAACTGCAGAGCTGAGCCCGGCCTATGGATACAGTGGGTGAAAATACATACATGTGTGTCTATGTGTATATGTATATAGGTGTATGTTTGTGTGTCTATATATACATACACACACACACACACAGACATATATTAATAGGGAGACAAATAAAGGAAAAATCTCTCTCAGCAACACCAACCTTTCTGCAATTTCCCATCTTTGAGGTATGGAAAACATAGGATTTTAATAGTATCCCTGTGTTTGATTCAGAATACTAAATGCAAAGCATATTTCAGGAAACAGTTTCAGAAAAATCTGGTAACTGTGCTTGAGCTCTGTGTTCTGGTGCCATACCACTACAAAGCTCAAGCACTCGTTAGTGCAGTCCCTGCATTTAATACAGCATTCAGATACCCCAGCAAAGATTAAACCATCAGCTTTGGTATTGTATGTTCTCAAGATGCTTTATCATGTTAATAGCCCATTTCAAAAGAGATCATATATCCTCCTCAGCTACAACAGAAACCCAAACAAAAATCCCCATCAAACTACCCTACAGCTAACCAGTTGCAGTGACTGACTTTTTAATAGTTAAATAGCCAGCTTTGTGGGGAAATATCAAAGTGAGAAGTGGCAGGACTTGAAAGGAAGTTGCTTCTATATGAGTTCAGAGCTTACACTGACATAGAAGGAGCCATTAAAAGAGCTGTATTACTGCTAATTGTAAACTCAGCAACCAGCTTTTAGATGGCAGAGCTCTGCCTGCGAAGTCTTCCCTACAACATTCAGAAAGCGCCTGTTAGGATTTTCCAATGATATTTTTCACTGGAAAAATATTGATTTGTTGAAACTGTCTGTGGGGAAAGGTCATCTTTGGATCAGCTCCCAGATTGAAGTATTTCCAACAGCAAAATAAAACCTAAAAAAAGTGAGCTGCTTGTTGAAAAGTGGTATTTCCATAAAAATTTTAATGCCCTTTATTTTTAATTGCACTCCTTGTTCAACAGAACCCTGAAGGGATTTATACAGATAGGAAATAAAATTTAAAAAATGGAAATAAAACCGGGATTTTTATAAAAGTGCGAATTTTAGACTCTCAGAAGCTCCTGGAAGACAGGAAAACTTGCCTGCACTGCTGTGAGACACCAGTCCTGAGAGAGAAAACAGTCTGGAAACTCCCAAGCCAGAAGAGATCTGCTCGGCAGGTGGATGATTACAGGGATTATAATGGCATCTATCTGAGAAAGGGGCCAGACCGTGCCAGGTGTTTTCTCTGCAATCTAAACACACCGCTGGGAGTTTGGAGATAAGGGGAGCTTTATGCTGCTGTTATAGGTGGGAAGATGAGGAACAGAAAGGGATTAAATGTCTTGCTGAGAGTCTGCTGGGAGACAAGTTAAAAGGCTGCTCATAGCTCTGCAGTCCTCTGCCCAGTGTCACAGTCACAGACTCACACTGCCTGCTCCAGCTAAACTGCAGGGCGCAAGCAGAAACAGCTCCTGGGATGCTCCCAGGAGTATCCCACCTTTTGCAGCTTTTCATACCTCTTTCACACTAACTCCATGCCATGTGTGGGCCAGCCTGGACCCGCAGTGTGTGAAGCACTGTGACCACTCACATGCGGCTCTAGGGAAATAATCTATTTTAGGTTCCTTAACTCAGTGCTGCAGCTGGAAATGAAGGGAAGCCAGAATTAATTCAGCCAGCTCCTTGCCCAGAGGCAGTAAGTGTAGAGTCTGCTAGTTTCTGGGTTAGTTATTGCATCACCACCGTTACTAAAATCAGCATGATTCTGCCCAATGACCTCATATGGTCTCAGTGAGTAGAAAGGGCTCACAATACTTCCCTGTCTCAAAGCCTCCGATTATTACCTACAAAGGGGAGCTTCCAAATCTCCAAAGCATAAAAGGAATGCAATGAATAAGGATGCCCTTCCCATCAGGGAATAACTCCATGGAAGCTTGTTTGCTCCCTACAAGCTCACCGTCTCACCTTGGATCCATCCAAAAAAAGAAACACTTATTTCTCCTGAGAATGAATTTGTTCCTGCTGCTTACTGCCCACTGGAAGAGGAACCTCTTATTTCTAGCAGCAGAATTAAACCACCATGAAACAATTTTGCTGTCAAAATGAGGGAATTATGAAGAAGGACTTGGAAAGAGTAAATATCCTTAAGGAAGAGGAGCAAGAGACCACATAACACACAGGCATGCTTATAAATAGGCTGGCTTTCAATGAAGTATCAGATCT